GCAGTTGGTGGTAAATCAAGTCTACGAAATTTTTGACACCAAAGAGAAACATATGCAACAATACATGGTAAAGGTTCAGGCTCTATTGGCACGATTCCGGGAGTGGTCAATAACTCATATCCTGATGGAAGATAACGCGGAGGTAGATGCATTGGCAAATTTGGGCTCATCAACAGAAATCCAAGGATCGGAATCAAGAATGGTAGTACAACTGATGAACTCATCCTTGAACATAGATGGTTACTATGAGGTAAATTCGACTAGTTTGGTTTGGTACTGGAGAAACGAAATAATCAATTATCTCGAGCATGGAAAGTTTTCCGAAGACCCCAAAGTATTAAGAGCGTTGTGCGCCAAAGCTGCACGTTGTAGCTTCAAGAAAAGCCAATTGTACAGAAAATCCTTTCAAGGCTCGTTGGCCCGATGCTTAGGAGCATCAGAAGCTAACTATGTCATGAGAGAAGTCCATGAAGGGATATGTGGCAACCACTCGGGTGCAGATTCTTTGGTGCTGAAATTAGTTCGAGCAGGATATTACTGGCCCCGTATAGAACAAGATGCCAAAGACTTCGTACAAAAATGTGATAAGTGCCAACGCTACGCACCACTAGTACATCAACCAGCATAACCCCTACATTCGGTTTTGTTCCCGTGGCCATTCATGAAATGGGGGATGGACATCATCGGACCACTGCCACCGGCTCCTGGAAAGGTAAGGTTTCTTTTAATTTTGATTGACTATTTTTCTAAATGGATGGAAACATGTCCTTATCAGAAGATCGGAGAACGCAAAGTGATCGAATTCTTGTGGAAAAATATAATTTGCAGGTTTGGAATACCAAAAGAGATTGCATGGAATAATGGGCCGTAGTTTATCGGCGCAAAAGTTACAAAATTCCTTGAAGACTTGAAGATAAAGAGGATTACCTCTTTACCTTATCATACGAGCGCAAATGGTCAAGCGGAGTCAACAAAGAAAGTAAATATTCAAAACCTCAAAAAAAGGTTGGAAGCAGCAAAAGGCAACTGGCCCGAAAAATTACCTAGTATTCTATGCCTACCGAACAACGGCTAAGTCAAGCACGAGAGAGACCCATTTTTCCCTTATATACGGTGCAAAAGCTTTGATAACGGTGGAACTGGAGGAACCAACTTAAGGTATTTCAAGGCGAGCAAAGGATCGAACAACGAAGCAATACTAATAAACTTGGAGATGCTCGAGGAACGCAGGGACTTGGCGCATGTCAGAATGGCAGCCCAAAAGCAAAGAATGGAGCGTTATCATAATCGAAGAGCCAACCTCTGATATTTCAAAGTAGGAGACTTGGTCTTGAGGAAGGTAACTCAAAACACCCGGGAACTCAACTCAGGCAAGTTAGGGCCAACATGGGAAGGACCTTACCGGGTTTTAGCTATCACTGGGAAAGGATCATACGAGTTGGAGAACCAAAACGGAGAGAAGTTTCCCAGCAGCTGGAACGTGGCTCACCTCAAAAGATATTATTGCTGACGAATAAAAGTCAAACGGAAAGTATGTGCTGCACTCTTTTTTCTTTCATTCAGTTTTTGTCCCAATTGGGTTTTTCTGGCAAGTTTTTTAACGAGGCAGCGATGGAAAGCATGCTATGAAGTCCCGAGTGATAAGACCTTTGATAACAAGGCAAATAACCAAGTTTCCACTCGGGGACGATTAGATAATCTTTGCTTTGATAGAAAATTCCCACCGGGAAGTTAAATTTGGTATCGAAAAGAGGTTACTCGATGGTTCACGAGCATAAACCACTAGAGGATTGTTAGGTATTCTTTCGCTCGATAGCATGGGTTCCTGATGGGAAACAAGATATGTTGCTGAGTGAATGATTACCTAGCAATTCATTGGTGGATCTTCGAATGTACAAGGCTTCCAGTGTTCCAATTCGCATTCGAACACTGAGGGAATGATATGAGGTTACGACAACACTGAATGCCAGGCAACATTGAATGCCACGTCAATCGGGGAAAGTAAATTTGGAATAAAATACATCATCGGGACTGGGGACTGCGCAGCCAGCCCCATAGAAACACATTGTACAAGATAGCCACAGGTCATGTGAAAATTTCTTTATAGCCACAAGTCATGGCAATTTCTTTTCTACATAGAAAAATGCTTATGTACATTTGAAAATAGAAGGAATTAAATGAAATGAAATCCTTTTTGTTTTTATCCTATTTCTTGTCTGAACGATGATTAATTTTACCATTTGAAAGTTAAATAAGTACTTCAAATATTTTTGCCATAATGAACATGAGACGTCCTCTTCAAGAGAACCATAAACATAAGAGGGCCCTCTCTTATAAAAATCCTAACATTAAAGGGTTGATTCCGGAAGAATCAATGCCCGGAATCCATAATGCCATCAAGGAAAAAATACACCCGAAGCTGCATATGAAAAAGATGCAAAATGCAAACTTATGCAAATACTTATTTAAACCCTCATGTAAAAGGGATAATTCTCTGTACCGAAATGCTTCGAATAAAAAGCATCTGAGATTACACACAATAAAGCACGAACAGAACAACATGCGCATAATACTTAAGCAAGTACGAAAGTTAAAGACTTGCATGAATATTCAAAACGAAAATAAGACTCAAACGATACTTGAGCAAAAAATATGTTTTTATTTACAAGGGCACGTCAGAGTGATAAAGGTACAAAATAGAAAAAGAAAGAAAAAGTTAAACTGCAGCATCTCCGGAATCAGGAGGAAGAGAAGTATCCACATTCCCGGGAGTTGGGTCCACTGATGGCTCAATGTTTCCCCAGCTTGGTCTTCGGCATCATCACCTTCCGATCCCTCTTCAGTTATCGAAAACTCAGAACCGGAATCAGAAGAACCTGGAGCATCAGACTGCACTAGAAGTTCATTTTTTGCAGCCAACTCAAGCTCTCTAGCCTTAACAATTTTGGCATCAATGTCAATGATACCAGTCTTGGCCTCTTCCAAGGGTTTTCTCCTCATACTATACATGGAATAAGTTCTTTCAACAATGAGGGAAGCCACTCGACGCTTGATTTCTTCTTTGAGTTGAGTAATTTCGAAGGAAAAGTTTTCCCGGACGGACTTAGCAGATTTGAGACTGACATCGTGCTCACGGATAGTTGAACTATATAACCAATTATGCTCGATAGTTTTCATGTACTTCTCCAGCTGGGCATGTTTCGCTACCATAGCAGCAAGCTCTTCGCTTTTGGAGTTTAAGGTTGCTTATAAGTTAATCACTCTTTCAATAAAGGCAGCCTTACGATCGTTTGCAGCAAGAATGACATTCTGGACTTCTGCCCATTTAGCCTTGGCTTCATCAAATCTAACTCTCAGCAGCCCAATTTTTTGTCTAAGGGTCACCACTTCTTGCTCGCTCTGTTGCAAATATACCTCCAAAACAACGACCTCGGTAGCCTTGGTTTCCAGTTCCAAGAGACGGAGAACAGTCTGGTCTCGTTCCGTCAAAAGTTAATCCCGTTCAGAAGTAAGTTCTTCCTTCTCACGAATCAGCCTTTGGAGGCCCTCAAAAGCAATAAAGTTGGCCTACAAAACAAGAAGAGGTAAAACTTAGAGTACATTTGTTCAAAAGTAGAAGAAATAACAGATATTTAGCAAGCTCTACCAGCCTCGAAAGCAAGTTACACCTGGTGGAAACCGAAAGGGTAACACTCCTCCTCCTTTGTAGATCTTCAGAAGGGGAAGCATAATTTTGCCCCAAATTCCTATGAACTGGGGACTTGGGATGAGGGATACCTTCTTCATGGTCAGGTGTGGCCGATGGAGATGATGATGTGGCAACCGCTATTTGAAGAGTGGACGAAGATGGGAATGATGTGGCAGTTGTTGGTGATGATGAATGTGAAATGAAGTTGACATAGTTGAAGAGTGTGAAACAGCTACATCAAATGCAGTGCTGGTTGTTTGACGCTCACCAACCAAAGACAGCACGGACCTGGTACTCAGCCTCGCAGTACCGGTTACAGAAATTAGGGCCCGAGAGCGGGAATTGGCATTATCTACCAAATCAAATTCTCCCCAAAGTGCTGAGACGTCATCTTCAGTTGTTGCAATTGTCTCAACAGGTCGAGCATCTTGATGAGATGATGAGGATCGTATCCTTCTATGTAAAGAAGATCCCTCATCACTAGCTTCTTCATCATCGTCGATCATCTCAGTGTCTATGACCGGCCCGGAAGGAGGACCGGTCACTATCGCCACCAGAGATGACTCGAGGACATCAACCTTTGCCATTTTATTCTTTTCCCCGGCCGCAGAGGAACGTCTTCTTTTTAGTTGCTTGTTCTTTGGCTGGGGACTCTATGAAGAAACGCTTGCACCCGAAGTAGGCTCAGAGACACCTGTTCGAGTAAGTGCCTCCTGAAGCAGCATCACCGCATCAGCAGGGTGAGCCAAAATATCCTCCTTGGGGACATCAAGTGAGCCCGCAGGTAGACCTAATTTAGTGAGCAAGTCAGAAGGGTTCGACTAAGTTTTTCATATACAAAAAGTGGAAATGCGGTAAATTAAAGTTACCATAATGTTTGGCCCTCCACCCTTATTTAATGGATAATTCTTTCCACAAATGGGTTTCGGGCGTTGTGATATCTAAGATCTTCTGAACCCACCGGTCCAATCCTTCTATCACCGATAGGATCCATCGAGTTGATGTAACAAATGAAGGTTGAAGGATCAATACAAGCATGAAAGAATATTTAGTAAGAAAAGAGGTATTAAAGAGAACTTACGAGAGCGGTTCCAATCAACCAGAAAGGATTATGCCGTTGTTGGAAAAATGTCACTGGTGGCAACTGCAACGAACTGTTCCATCCACCCACGGTCGTTGTCATCGTCCATGCTAGACTGCAAAGCATGGTGGCCACACTTGCATAGGTTTATCATTCCCCCGCGAAAGTTTTGGTGGAATAGAGATTCATCATATAAGCTAGGGTTAGCTCCTCTCCAGTTTCTAGGCACAGATGTCGAAGGCAGGCAACCGTCCTCCACACTGAAGGACTTACATGTGCCAAACACACTTGGTAGCGAAGGTAAAACTCTGCAATCACAGAATCAAGCTCTCCACTCAAAGAAAGTGCACCCAAAGTAAAGGGATACGTGAAAAATATGTAAACCCTTCCTTGGGAAGGGTCACTCGCTTCGATAGGTCAGGAGCAATGATGTCCAACTCATGACATCGACAGTCCTCCTTCACAACAGGAATACTGGAAGGGCGAATAGAAGAAGTGTACCTACTAACAGCCTATGTGCGAGGGTTAGTAATAGGAAGTTTCTCTGCAAAATCCTTCGAAGTACTAAGCCTTCTTGTGATAACGGAACCCACCGTTGGAGGAACGGAATCCTCGGTTTTGTTCTTGCCCTTTGAAAAACTAGTACGTTTTGAAAATGAAGCCATTTGAATAGAAGGAAGGAAAATTTCTGGTTCGAAGAAGATCAGAGAAAAGTTGGGAAATAAAGATGCAAATTAGAAGTTTGAGAGATTATGAAGTATATAAGAGAGGGATGATGCATATAACTAAAATTTTGGCGGCTAAATTCATAGCCATGATTACCTCGATAATCGGCAAAAGGCGTGCTAAATCATGGGAAGACACGTATTCGGGGCATTAAATGCGGAGAGACAAACGTATAATCAACTGTCAGTGGCCTTCAAAAGAAATTATAGTAATTCCCGCCAAAAGAGTATTTCTACTAGGGGGACTATCTATATAGGAAAAAATACGACATGACACGTGGCCGCTTAAATGAAGGACACGTGGAACACAAGATGGAGATGACCACCGAACATAACTATTCCGCTTATCAACGGAAGGAATAACGATCATAAAAGGAGTATTAAATATTTTGAGCCCAGTAACATTTAATACATAATATTTTACAGCATTAAGGATGATGGTCCGTTATAAGAAATTTAACATTTATGTCTAACGTTACATCTTCATCAATGGCCCTCATAATTGACATTAAAGAAGTGCATGATCCTATGACTTCCTTCCCTAGGCATAGCTATAAATAGAGAGCTTAGTTATCACTGTAAGGACACGAATTTTCATTCTAACTTATATTACATTCTATACAGGATTTTAATACATTTTGATTTTCTCGCTTTTGATCTTATTATTGTTGTGCCCGGAAACTTTGTTCCCGGACTCATTAGCTTTGTTATTTCATCTACATTCTAAGGCTAAGTATTTCATATTTTATCATTTATTTCATTACTTTTTGGATCAAATTAATTCACTTGTCTAAAAACCATAAACAAATTCAACTGCACCGTTTTTCGGGTAAACAAGAGGTGGATTCAATATTTAAATTTTATGAGTTCACCCTTTTATGTTTTAACATTGAACCTATTATATTTTTAAAGTTATAGGTTTATATTTATTATTTAGTGCAATACTGAGTTGAGATGATCCGCTACCACAAAGTTGGATCCGCCCCTTATGACCACATCCATGATATTATAATCTTTAGATTCTATTATATTCCCAAGGCTGTTGCCGATTGCAGAAAAATGGCATATTTCTTCCAATTATGAAATGATTCCATAATCAAAATATTTGTCTCTTAATGATGTAACATAATATGGAAATGTTATTCTTTTGCCTTTTCACCAGTAGCCCAGACGATGCTCGTCAAGGCCAATGCTGTTGTAGGCATATACTTTTTAGACCCCTAGTTTTTTTAATTAAAACCGCAGATGAAATATATTTATAAAGATTAGGTAGGTGTACGGCCATAAAAAATTATGAGATTTTAAAGAAAAAAAATTGAAGTTACGCTAAAAAGAAGGTATTTAAAAATTGAAATTGTATTTGGACATGCATTTGACTTGAAAAAATATTGCAGTTTGTGAGAGAAAAATATTGTTTACTTAGAAAAATTAGTTTTTATTTGAAACTCATCTTAAAAAATTCAGTTATGTATATAACCAAACACTGATTTAAAAATATATTTTGACAAAAAAGGAAAAATAATTATGTTCAAACGGCTCCTGATTATTTGCCAAGTCAATGAAAAGAACTATTAATGCCGGCAAAAGAAAATACTCTGAGGAGTTGGTAATATGCCACTATTTTCTTATTTCTTTTTTAGATTAGCCAATAAAAGTCATGGGAACCTAATTTACCGTCGTTTAATTTCAAACATTTGTTTGCTTGTCTGATTCAATTATGACATAGTAAATTGGCAATAGAATTTTTTGTTTGTTGTTGCCAATTTACTACTCTATCTGGTCACTTTCACTCGTGTTTAAGATTTTATCACACCTACTAGACAAAATATAATTTATTAATATTAAATATAAGGAATATTCTACTAAATTGATTCTTATTTCTTCTGTTATATAAGTAATAAGTACCCCTTAATAACTCTATGCCTTTTTAGAATAATAAGCGTGAACTTGAAAAAAAATACGTAATATTTTTTGGTTTTCTCAAATGAAAAACATATTGCACTATTTGTTTTTTATTAACGTGATAGAGAAAAAGGATCGGAGGTTAGCTATATAGCTATATTTAAGTAGCCTCACAATTTTGCTTAGCAATTGAACTTGTAGGGTAGCTAAATTTAGATAGCGTCAGAGTTTTGCTCAGCAATTGATCCTAATTTTTTAATTCTACTATTAAAGTCTTAACGCCCAACCTATACAAGGGCTTCATAAAATGAGCGAAGAAAAGAAAAGGAAAAAAAGAAGAAAAAGAGTTTAGAAACAGAACTAGTATTTAAAGAGTAGAAGAGTGCAAAAGGAGAAAGCAAAGCATAGTTTGTCAACAATCAGCCTATTGAATTGAATTCATGGACTGGAATTGGGACTATGTCTTTTGGTCTATTACTAGTATCTTGATTCCATTATNGTCTTTTGGTCTATTACTAGTATCTTGATATTATTACTCCTACACTTCCACCGGCGAAGATCAAACAAAAATGGCCGGCTGCTGCCACCCGGGCCACGAGGGTGTGGCCCGTGTTTGGCAACATGTTCGAACTCGGCAACGAGCCACACAAGACACTAATGAGTCTAAAACAAAAATACGGTTCAGTGGTTTGGTTAAAGCTCGGTTCTATTAATACTATGGTGATTCTCTCCGCAGAAGCCGCGGCAGAGTTTTTCAAGAACCATGATGTGGCTTTCGCGGAGAGGTCAGTAACCGATGTGATGAAATCACATGGATATCATAAAGGGTCTCTAGCTTTAGCACCCTACGGTACTTACTGGCGAATCATGAAACGAATCATGACCGTTCAAATGTTAGTCAACAAACGGATCAATGAAACAGTTGATATCCGACGAAAATGTATCGATGATTTGACCGAATGGATAAATAATGAAGGTAGAATTAACTCCTCTGGTGGAATTCATGTAGCTAAATTTATATTTCTTGCCTCGTTTAACATGTTGGGAAAGCTGTTATTATCGCGGGAATTAGTCGATCCAAAATCCGAAAAGGGGTCTGAATTTTTTACTGCTATGGTTGAGTTAATGGAATGTTCTGGACATCAGAATATTGTAGATGTATTTCCATGGCTGAGATGGATTGATCCTCAAGGTTTGAGAAAGAAGATGGATCGTGGACTTGGGAAAACAATTGAAATTGTTTCGGGTTTTTTAAACGAACGGTTTGAAGAGTTAGAAAGAACGGGAGAGAAGAAGAAAGATTTTTTGGAAGTTTTGCTGGAATATGAAGGCAAAGGCAAGGATGAACCTGAAAAGCTATCAGATCAAGAACTCATCTTGATTATTCTGGTAATTTTGCATTTTACACTACAAGCATTTTCATATTCTTTCTTATACTAGCTCGTTTTTAACTTATGTATACACTTTTTGGGTAAAAAAAATTTTACACTACTATTGCCAATTTTATCTCCTATAAGAGGCTATTGCTCTACTTTTTAAATTACTATATTAGGCTCGCAATGAAAAATTACTCGTTGTAAGTCAACTTACCTTAATGGTGCAAAAATGTTCATAAACTGCACATAACTTGAATTCTTAATAAATGAATCCCTACCTTTTGTTATGCGTAAAATCTTTATTGAAGACAAGTTATGTTGAGATTAGTTATGCTGAAATTATTTATATTGAGATTTTATCCTGAAATTATGTTTTGTTGACTGTTTGATATGTTGTATTAATCTTGTAATTGTCAATTTTACTATTTTATCCTGTGATAACTTATATTGAGATTACTATTTCATTCTCTGGCAAGTATAAGCTATCTGATACTATTTTTAATCCCAAAATAACTTATTCTAGGATTAATCACCAAATAGGGAATAAGGGGGTACTAATTTTTTATCCCAAAATAATTTTTGTTTATCCATCATACCAAACGACCCGTTAGGGTCTTAACTTTAAAGTGTTAAATGACAGGGCAACCGTGGAACAGAGCAGGAGGTAACAGAATCCAGATGAGTAAAAAAATTTAGAAGCGTTAACCTAAATAGCCATCTTCCCAACCACTTATACTAAAAATAGTCTACGAATATATAATATATGTATATTTATGTACAATCAGTATATAATCTATGTATATCGGCTAGAAAAAATAAAAAGTGGCCAATTATTCGTGTAAAATTCCCAATTTTTTATGTAGTTTGATTCGCCTTATACTTATAGAGACCAGCAGTTTTTATAATAAAATAATTACTGTGCAGCCTAAACTGAAACGTAACTAAAACCATAACCGGACAACAAAGGAATTGCAAAATTTTGAAAAAGGTTTTCTAGTCATTACTGATTGTACTAATTGGTTAAATACAGGAAATATTTTTAGCTGGTTCAGAGACAACAAGCAGCAGTATAGAATGGGCAATGACAGAGTTGTTAAGCAATCCAGAAGCAATGGACAAAGTTAAAGCCGAGCTAACTGAGGTTCTTGGAAATACCAACAAGAAATTCGAAGAAACTAACATCGATAATCACAAGTATTTACAAGCTGTCGTAAAAGAAACTTTAAGATTGCACCCACCAATTCCATTTTTAGTTCCTAGAAAAGCAATTCAAGAAACTGAATTTTTGGGGTATAATATTCCAAAAGATACACAAGTTTTCGTGAACGTTTGGGCAATTGGAAGAGATCCCGAATGTTGGAAAGACCCTTTTGATTTCAAGCCAGAAAGGTTCTTGGATTTGAAAACTGAATACAGGGGTCAGAATTTTGAGTTTATTCCGTTTGGTGCAGGGAGAAGGATTTGTGCTGGAATTCCACTTGCTCATAGAATGTTGCATTTGCTGTTGGGATCGTTGTTACATGAATTTGACTGGGAGATTGATAATTCTCTTCTTGATGAGGTATTGGATACACAGGACAGAATGGGAGTGACTGTTAGAAAATTAAAGCCATTGAAAGCAATTCCAAAGAGAAAAAACAAAACTCTATGATTTTACATTTTAGTGTTTCTCCCTCTGTTAGGAGTGCTCATTTAATTTCCTTTTTTTTTTTTTTTGTATCTAAAGTTTTTCAATCTATGTTCCACAGAACGATTATGGATGACAGACTTAAATGAAATAACATGAATAGTAAAAATTTATGTAATATACCTTAATTTATATGGAAATAAAACATATTAATTGTTATTGTTTGTTTTTGTTCTGCATAACAAATATCCTTGAATTTACACGGCAGAATACATAGACAGACACAACTATCACAGAAATTTCACTTAAAACACCTCAACTAAGTCATTTTCCACCGGAACACTTTTACTATACCTTTACTGCACCTACTATACCTTTACTGCACCATTTTAACACGTCCGACCTGACGTGGCAATAACGTGAACATCACTGCTTTTGAGCGCGTGAACAGTAAAAATATGGTGACAAAAACTATTTCAACGGTACAATACAAACGGTAAAATACACCCTTTACCCATTATATAATTAAAATCTCATCCTTATTTACCGGCCCTAGTTCTTCACCCTCATCCCTTTTTACCAGCCCTAGTTCTTCACCTTTTGGGTTTGCTACTTGTCACGACCCCAATTTCCCACCGTATGATGTCGTGATGGCACCTAGTATCTAAGACTAGATAAGTCTAATAATTTGCATAATAAATGAATAATAAACTGAACTCCAATCTCAACACACGATATATAAATACTATAAAACTGCAAATCCATAATTATAACTCTCAAAACCCGGTAGAAATAAGTCATAAGCGTCTAAAGAAAATATTAAGTGTTTCTATACATCAAAGTCTAAAGAGAATAAGGAAACAACATAATAAGGATAGAGGGGGACTCCGAGGTCTACAGACGCTGGCAGATATACCTTGAAGTCTCCATATGCGGTCCATCTCACTGGTATCTAGTCTGGTAGGAAGAACCTGGATCTGCACAAAAAGTTGTGCAGAGTATAGTATGAGTACACTACAACGATACCCAGTAAGTGCCAAGCCTAACTTCGGTAGAGTAGTGACGAGGTCAGGTCAGGGCCTTACTAGTTTAAAAGAAAAATAAGACAGAAGATATAATAATGATTGAAATGACTAAGAATTTAAATAACGAGAAACTTCATAAAATAATAGCACATCAAACAGAGGTAAACAATAGAGGCACTCCTGAGGTACCACCTCGTAGTCCCAAATGTAAATATGCACGATATGGGGATATCCCGAGGTACCGCCTCGTAGTCTCAAAGTAAATATGCAAGACAGGGGGGATCTCCCGAGTAAATGTATCATAGTCCCAAAGTAAATATTCAACAAATAACCAAAGGAGCAACGAATTTACAGCAAGAAATCTTACAGTTAAAGATTTAATTCAAATCAAGGAAAATAAGTAATTCAACTAAGCATGTTGTACAAATTGCAAATAAGAGATAAGGCACGTAGACATGCGATACTAAGCTAAACATAATCACTACATATGCTAAGGCAACTCAGTTAAGGAATTTAAAAGAAGACAACTCAGCAAGAACTGAAATTTCCACAATTAGCCCGTGTACGCACTAGTCACCTTGCGTACACGGCGCTCACATATCACAACTGTTATAACAATATCAAATCCTAAGGGAATTTCTCCCACACAAGGTTAGACAAGTTACTTACCTCAAATCTCGCTCAATCAATCGATAAAAATGCCTTTCCCTCGATTTTCCAACTCTGAATGGCCCAAATCTAGCCAAAAGCAATTACATATCATGAATAAAACAACAAAAAACTAATTTAAATAATAAATCTACGACTTTAGCAAAGAATCGCAAAATCGCCCCAAGTCGACCCCGGCCCACGTCTCGGAATCGGGTAAAAGTCATAAAATACGAATACCCATTCGATATCGAGTTCACCCATACCAAAATTACCAAAATATGTCATCAAATCGCCAATCAATTCCTCAAATCAACTCTCCAAATCCATAACCTCAAACTCCCAATTTTCACCTTAAATACACACTAACTAGATAGAAAAATCAATGGAGAAACAAGATTATTGATCAAAAATAAACACAAGGGATTTACCTCAAGAAACCTCTCAAAAATGCTCTCAACAATAACCAAGACCCGAGCTCAAAATGTCTAAAATGAGCAAAATTCCCAAACCTTTGAATTAATAGAGTCTGCCCAGTATTTTCGCTTCAGCGGATCACTTAACAGCATTTGCGGTCCCGCTTCTGCGGTTTTGCTCAGGCTGCTTCACCTCCGCTTCTGCGATCTCTTATCCGCTTCTGCGGACTCGCTTCTGCGGCTAAAGCGCACCTGCGACCTCCTTTTCCGCATCTGCGGTCTCGCAGATACGAAATTTTCCTCGTATCTGCGACCTATGCCCACACTGCTCCAGCTCACTTCTACGACCCAATGCTCGCTTCTGCGGGCTCGCACCTGCGGTCAATCTTGCATAGGTGCGATTACACCAGAACTGGTGCCTTCAGCCATTGTCACAAGTCAAAATTTGATCCGTTAACCATCGAAAATCCACCCAAGGCCCCCGGGACCTCAACCAAACTTACCAACAAGTCCTAAAATATCATACGGAGTAGAGCCCTTAGATCACATCAAAAAACGTTAAAAATACGAATTGCACGTCGATTCAAGCCTAATGAACTTTAAAACTTCAAACTTCTACATCCAACGTCGAAACCTATTAAATCAAGTCCGATTGACCTCAAATTATGCACACAAGTCATAATCGATATTACGGACCTACTCCAACTTCCAGAATCGGAATCTGACCCCGACATCAAAAATTTCACTCTCGGTCACACTTCCTAAAAATTATCTTATTTTCTAACTTTCGCCAATTGACGCTAAAATGCCCTACGGCCCTCCAATTCAACATCCAAACACGCTCCTAAGACCAAAATCACCCTGCAGAGCTATTGAAACCATCAAAACTTCATTCCGGAGTCGTATTCACACAAATCAAACTACGGTCAATTCCTACGACTTAAACCTCTAATTTAGGGACTGTGTGTCCCATTTCACTCTGAAACCAAAAATAAATCCTAGCGGCAAGTCACGTAACCACAAAATCAAATAGAGGAAGAAGTAAATAGGGGTTCAGGGCTAATACTCTCAAAACTACCAGCCGGATCGTTATATCCTCCCCCTCTTAAAATATACATTCGCCTTTGAACGAGTATAAAGACATACCTAAAGTGGTAAAAAGATGAGGATAACGGCTGCGCATATCATGCTCGGTCTCCCAAGTTGCCTCCTCGATCGGGTGACCTCTCCACTGATCCTTCACAGACGCGATGTTCTTTGACTTCAGCTTTCGAACTTGCCTATCCAAAATGGCCACCGGCTCCTCAACATAGGATAGATCCTTGTCCATCTGGACTGAGCTGAAATCTAACACATGAGACGGATCGCCGTGATACTTCCGGAGCATGGAAACATGGAATACTGGATGAACTGCAGAGAGACTAGGTGGTAGTGCTAGTATGTAAGCCACCTCTCCAGCCCTCTCAATAAAGGCCTGATATACCTAGGGCTCAAATTGCCCTTCTTTTCGAACCTCATAACATCCTTCATGGGTGAAACCCGGAGCAAGACCAGCTCCTCAACCATGAATGCAATGTCGCGAACCTTCTGATCTGCATAACTCTTTTGTCTGGACTGGGCTGTACGGAGTCTATCCTGAATTAATTTAACATTTTCCAAAGCATTCCGAACCAAGTCTGTACCCAATAGCCTAGCCTCGCCCGGCTCAAACCAACCCACTGGATTCCGGCACCGTCTACCATATAAAGCCTCATACGGCGTCATCTGAATGCTCGACCAATAACTGTTGTTGTAGGCAAACTCCGCAAGTGGCAAAAACTGATCCCAAGCACCCCCCAAAATCAATCATAAACGCACGAAGCATATCCTCCAATATCTGAATAGTGCGCTCGGACTGTCCGTCCGTCTGAGGGTGAAATGTTGTACTCAACTCCACACGAGTACCCAACTTACACTGTACGGCTCTCCAGAATAGTGATGTAAACTGCGTACCCCGATCAGAGATGATACATACCGGTACGCCATGGAGCCTGACAATCTCTCGGATGTAAACCTGAGCCAGCTGCTCCGAAGAGTAAGTAGTAACCACAAGAATGAAATGAGCTGACTTGGTCAATCTATCCACAATCACCCAAACTGTATCGAACTTCCTCTGAGTCCGTGGGAGCCCAACAACGAAATCCACAGTGATCTGCTCCCATTTCCACTATGGGATCTCTAACTTCTGAAGCAATCTACCCAGTCGTTGATGCTCATACTTCTCATGCTGACAATTTAAGCACCGATCCACATATTCCACTATGTCCTTCTTCATCCGCCTCCACCAATAGTGATGCCTCAAATCTGGATACATCTTTGCGGCACCTGGGTGAATGGAGTACCGCGAACTGTGAGCCTCCTAGAGGATCAACTCATGCAAACCATCTACATTAGGCACACATAGCCTGCCATGCATCCGTAATATACCGTCGTCTCCTATAATAACTTCCTTGGCATCACCGTGTTGAACCGTGTCCTTCAAGACAAGTAGCTTGGGGTGATCATACCGACGCTCCCTGATACAATCATAAAGAGAAGACTGAGAAACCACATAAGACAAAATCTTGCTCGGCCCGAAAACATCCAATCTGACAAACTAGTTGGCCAAGGATTGAACATCCAAGGCTAAAGGCCTCTCTGCTACTGGTAGATATACTAAACTATCCAAACTCTCTACCTTGTTACTCAAGGAATCGGCTACTATATTGGCCTTCCCGGGATGATAGAGAATGGTGATGTCATAATCCTTAAGAAACTCCAACAATCTTCACTGCCCCAAGTTAAGTTCCTTTTGTTTAAACAGATGTTGTAGACTCTGGTGATCGGTGAAAACCTCACAAGGAACACCATACAAATAGTGCTGCCAAATCTTCAAGGCATGAACAATAGCTTCTAACTCAAGGTCATGGACCGGATAATTCGTCTCATGCACCTCTAGTTGTCTGGATGCGTAGGAAATCACCCTACCATCCTGCATCAACACTGCACCGAGACCAATGCGCGAC